TTTAACGATAACTCAACGCAAACGACAACGTACACTGACTTCGCATTTTATCATCATTTTTCAGCAGCAGTACAGCAACGAATATCAGCCGTTGGTGCAGTCATCATCGTACGGCTGGATTATTTTTATCCCACATAAACTCCATGTATGGAAATTGGAATCCACTCATCACTAATCGACGATATTTACTCTACTGCGGCTTATCAGAACATCATATTTCACTGTTCCTTATCCTCATATTCAGTCAGCACCACAGACCAATTTCTGTTATATTCTACCTCACTTATTTTCACGATTTCTTCAGCTGTCATACCTATAAACAATTTATTACTCTTTAACGATATTTCGAATCGCTCATACGAACATGTTATTTTATCATCCAGACAGTAACGACATAAATGCATGTTAAATTGTTTGTACGCTTACTAATGTACTCATAATCACATACTAACATTTCCTTTTTGTCCGCATTTTGACGATACTCATGTACATTTTTACATAAGTATGATACTTTTGTATGATAAACTCACCCCTCACATGACACTGTAATTTACCAGGATAGTACGTCTTTTTCACTACCTATTGTTAAAGTTATATTAATAACGTTATTATAGCTTCTGGACAAGCCAATTTACCTATCCATCATGAGTCACGTTTTGACCTTGTTAATTATTCACTTATCAACCCTGACTGTTTTTATATGAGCATACGTGTGTGTACATTTATTTTCCTATTCATCACATGTCTGTAACTTATTTTTATCCGACTATACATATCGATTAACGCTTGGTTAAAGTCAGTTGGCTTACCCGCCATCTCCGATGCAAGTCATTTCTGTTTCTCTCTCTTCTATTCGTTTCATCCCTCTGATTTCCCGTCCAGATCAATGAGTGTACAATATACATGTATTCTAGATCCATTCTCGTATTTGACTCATTTAACTCCGCTATCCATCAACGCGGATTAAGTGATTTATTACATACGAGGATAGTCAGGATGTATATTTTGACAACAATCATTCATAAAATCTAATTGGAGTCAGATCCTGGCCCATAAAGATGTTGGTTCGCACCATTTCTCTAAAACAGTATGTTTCTCTGCCGGTTGCCCATTCAGTAAATATCTCAAAGCTGTGTCAGTGTAATTGGAGGCTTAGTGGCACAAATATGCATGCAAATCATCAGTTGAAACAATCGGGCGAATCTCTTGCAAGCTGAAAACGTCACCATCGAATTAACCGCAACACTGGCTAAAGTTCAAGTCATTATCATAGACATGAGTTGAGAATGTACTCTCCTTAGTTACAACTTATGTTCTCTCTGATAATCAAATCAGCATCACTCACTGTCAGTTATTTTGTAAAGACTTATTTAGCAGAAGAAACCTTACTACAGCATATCACCTGTGATTGCGGCAAATAAGCTTAGTTGATTTCAGCAACTTTTAACCACTATGTCTCAATAAAATCGTTTTCCGCTTTATGCTATACTTCATACTTGCAACCATCTGCTAAGCACCATCACCTGGTAAGCATGAATTTAGATAATTATTATATGGGAAATCAGAACATTGAGTCTAGAGCATGTCTCCTACGAATAAACCTATGTTTAACGAAATGTTCTTATCTATCTGTCCAGAATTCATAATTATCACTTTTCACGTATTGAAAATTTTTTGATAACCATTCATATATATTAGTATTGTTACTAAATTCTATCACCGTTAAATAATAATGAGTTTGAGAAAACCTCTGCATAACTAAACAAACCGTATCAACTATAACAAACTAACTGAAACACTGGCTGGAATTCTTTTCCACGGTTATACTTTTGTTCTTTCAGTTAGCCTACTAGTGCAGATGCTATTGGAAATGAAGTCATACAGACAGCATGCTAACATAAGCGTCATTGGACTTCCTAATTTAAACCAAAAGTAATATCGATGTCAAAACCGACACTAGATTGATTATTTTTCTACCTCTAAGAACAAAATACTTATACTACCTAAAAGTTATCAACCGGCGGCTATCAATACGCATCGTGCGGTGACCTATTGAAAGGTATATACACAGAATCATTCTCAGTTATTATAATCCCACTCTGCTTAGCTCAAGTAATCCTTCACCTAATTCTCAGTTTTGTGCACGTTAAGAATTAAACCAAACATTTTTAAACTGTGACGTGTATTTCCCGACCAGTTGCTGCTGCATTCTTTCTGATTTATCTTTCAGCTTCTTAATACCCTGAGAATTCTTATTATTCTTGGTATCTTCTGACGTGCGACAATCCCACTCAACTTGGTATCGAGCCAACGTCACGTTGATTCTGATGGGAGAGTAATGTAGTGGAATTGTGCCTGAACCACACAATCCTCAAAGCTGAACACGAGGCAACTGAGAAAACGGGTATTCAACATTTAACGCGGAGAAAAACCCAATGGTGGAGAAGGAGGGAGGAAAGAATTCAGTGGATTCAATTCATCGGATGGCATGGCTCAGCCTTGCAGGCTTAGTCGTTCTTGTGTGTTGTCTTATCCCTCTTATTCATTTTAAATATAAGGTTCTATCTGCAGTTTAAATGTGTTCTCCATCACATATTGTTAATTGTTACGATACAATGCTTCAGTGTGATCAATGATGTGACTTCCACGTAAGATCTTATAGATTAGGTAGTTACATCATGAAAAATCCACAATCTTAGGATTGGGTCTATTATTCTACATATGTTCAAAGACGACTTTTTATTACCTTTAATATACTCTGATAATACTGATTTATTATTAAGCGTGGTTTTCACATTGTGTACTTAATTATTATCTTCCTTTCCTCTTACTTTCCAAACTATCTAGTCCTTCTATTTTTCATATGTAATGCATATGTGTTGTGAGGTTGCTCGAGGTGCATTCGAGAAATATATCTCATGGTTTTGATAAACTTCATCTTATCATCGCATTATCAAAGCTTTCAACAATATCAAAGATTTAGAGTAGAGACTCACAAGTTTACATTAAATCGTGATAGATATATAACATAATACACTAACAATGCGGCTGCCTAATAACGGTGTAAAACATATCAAAAACTCCAGGTCACTCCAATTAGAGCATCCTACCCGAACCTCAACGCTGCAACTCATGCGGCAATCCAGAACGAATACTCATTAAATAGTAAGTACTCAGGTAAGATCACAATTCTTCTCAGTACGAGTAAGCTCTATCCGGATGGCCACCCTAGCCAGTGTAGCTACAGCTTCCTGAGAAGACAGGTTCAAGAGGTTGCACGACAATTACCTACTCACTACTGCTTACTGTACTTCACCTTAAACAGCAGTATCTGGAAAATTTTTCGTATGTTGTCATTACTACGGCTGTTATTCTCATCATTAATAATACTATTATTTTTATTATTATCATCCCTTCATCTCCACCATATTTTTCTTCTGAACATCTGTCTAGTCGTTTATACACAGACTTTTATTTATTGACACTATTTGCAGGAACTGTTTATTTACACATTCTGATATTTAACCTCTCTTTGCCACACTACATCCTGATTTTATTATCCTTATATTTTAACACAATAATCTCTGAGTCAGTACTCTAACAGATGCTGGTTGTAGAAGTCAAACTGTCCTAGAAAAAACACATTCATTTTCCGAAAAATATATTACCTCCAATTAACTATTCATTCAGGCCCAGTTACCATAGAGCGCTGGAATACAAAGCTCGAATAGCATTTGAGGTGCAACTAAGAAAATCGCAACAGTTCACTTTGTACAGAAGGGGATTACCCACACAAAACTCACAAATATGATTACTAAACACCAAAAAGAGCAAAGGACAAAAACACTACCTTGTATTACACATTAGTTGAAATGAAGGTGGAGACATAGTCTTTAATTTAAGTACTTTGGGTGGTTGTTCCGTCATAGTGAAAAATCAAGTATGAGGATGAACGAGGAAAAAATATCACGTTATACAAAAGTTTAAATAAAGCGATGATCTATGAAATTCCAAAAAAGAACAAACTCACAGTTCATATATTGGTGTACCGGATCACACTGGTCTCATCAATGAAGATGTCACAGGTATTTTAGTTTGACAACAAATCGACAATAACACCTTCTATGATTGAATCGCACCCACCCAGTAAAATCAAAAGTCAGAAGCGACGAGGTTGGAAGATATATGTGATAGATTATCAATATATCGACAAGTGACTGATCTAAACTGGCTAGAGATCGCATGAGACGTTGACCACGCCGTTCCAAATCGTGATCTGGTGAGGATGCATGACCGCGCGCCAACAACTACCACGAACTTAATCTCAATCTCAAACTACATTCGGGATACAGCTAAGAAAATCGCAACTGTTCACTTTATGTGACGACAGCTTGCCCCTATTTGGAATGCTGTCCTAGATAGTGCCCACAGCTCCCTCAAGGTGTATCTTTAAAAGGAGGCTTGACGAACACATATCCACCCAAGCATCAACATCTCCCTCTTGAACCAGCTGTGTCTGGTGAATGTCTCATAATTTACCTACTGTTTTCGTTATTGTGTATCAGTAAATACTTCGCATTTCTCAAATTATTATCTCCGTTTTTACCCTAACTCCTACCACCTGAACTTATCGACTACCGATCAATTTACATATACATTCATTTATTGAAACAATTGCCTTCTCTTAGCACTCTAATTTTCACATTATTACTTTACATATATCAAGCAGCCGGCCAACCTCCTGACTGTTAGTGTGATAGCTGATTATGCCCAGAAACCCTTCTATCCTATGACGAACGCACTCACTCAAACTATGAGTTGCAAAAACCCGCAAGCAACTACCATCGTACTGACTAAAAATAGTGCAGAGAGTGGCTAGGCTATCACTCATTAGACATTACCGGATACATGGAGTCGTTTTGAAGCAACAAGAAGCAAACAAAAAGAAAACAATCGTTTTATGTAATTTCATGGCATGATATAAGGTATTGTACAATGAAGCATTGCTTGGTTACATAAAAGCTGCGAAGGTTCGAAATTTCACAACTTTCATTATTTCATCAATTGGTAATATTGGAATGTTTTTCAAGAGTAAGGGAAACATGTTGCATATAATTATTCACCTTCAAAAAGGTTTCGGTATCTATATTGTCGGAAATTGCTGCATGGTTTTAGAACAGGTTACTCTTGTCTCACAAACTTATTAGTCGCTCGTGAAAGCTGGTGCGCTCTTAAGGACCAAAAATTACCTATAGACGTAGCTTACATCGATTTCAGCAAAGCCTTCGACAAAGTTCCGCATAACCGGCTGTTATATAAGCTAAGGAATGTCGGGATTGGAGGCAATCTATTGATGTGGATAAAAGACTTCCTAGTTGGGCGTCAACAAAGAGTAAGGGTGAACTCCAAGTTGTTTAGCTGGGAAACTGTGCTTAGTGGAGTCCCCCAAGGTACAGTTTTGGGGCCAGTGTTATTCCTCCTGTACGTAAATGATCTCCCTCGTCTACTATCGTCATCGGTCTTACTCTATGCTGATGATGTCAAGATATGGAGAGCGATACAAAGCAAGAGCGATAGCTTAGAACTTCAAAATGACCTGGAGAGATTATCTGAATGGTCCCAAACCTGGCAATTGCCGATAAACACTTCCAAGTGTATTGTGATGCATATTGGCCATCAGGGTACAGATACATACACGATGAATAACACTGAGTTACCTATTGTTCAGGCACACAATGACTTAGGCGTCATCGTTAGTCAAGACTTAAAGACTACTGCACACTGCCGTGCAATAGCCGCCAAAGGTTTTAGGACTTTATGGTCCATACGCAGGACTTTATGCATCTTGACGCTAAAACGTTTCTGACTTTGTATACAGTGTTCGTACGCCCTAAACTTGAGTACTGTATACAAGCAGCTAACCCCTGCCTAAAAAAAGACAGTGAACTCTTGGAAAGAGTTCAGAGAACAGCAACTAGGCTGATTCCCGGAATAGCGAAGCTCCCGTATGGTACTAGACTGACCAAGCTAAACTTATTCCCGCTGTCATATAGAAGAATCAGAGGTGACTTGATTATAGTTTTCAAATTGCTAAATGACAAATTTGCACCTGATATGCCCTCATTTTTCTTGTCTTCCAAAACAGAAAATCTACGAGGACACTCCAAAAAAGTTCACAAGCCCAGAACGAATTACTTGTCAGCTGACTACCGACTTTCCCATCGAATAATCAACGAGTGGAATTCATTACCTCAGCACGTGGTTGAGGCTCCATCCGTCGACTCCTTCAAAAGAAAGTTGGATCAGCTGAGAGACCATCATTGCCAGGACTAACACAGGCCACCAAGCCTCCTGTCCTTTCCAAACTGAAACTGAAACTGAAACTGATATTCATGCATAAAACATTAATTCTCCAGTCTCCCTATTTTGGGGGAAATTTGTCTGTTTTGGTAGAATTTCGGGAAAATGGCACGAAAACCCCGCAATTTCCTCAGTACTGTATGACAATTACTTTAGGGAAATTTGTCTGTATTTATGGAATGGTGATTTCATCAATCTTGTAACTGATCCCAAACAACAAATAAAAGGGGAAATAAAGGCGAACAAAGGGAAAATAAAGCGGACGAAAGCGTAAATAAAGGGAGTTAGACAAACAGACAACTTAGTGTTTCGTCCAATAGCCTTCGTTTGCGTGTGTCAATGAGTAGATTATGGTGTTGTAGCAGGTCTATACCAATGATTGGCATAGAAACATCTGCAACCACGAAAATCCAGTGAATACGTTTGCATAAACCCACGTTCAGGTAGACTTACCCTTTACAACATGTGATGATTGGCTTTCCATTTGCCGCCAGTAAGCTCAAAACAGATTCGTGAAGCCTGTCGTTAGAATTCACAGGAAGAACGATAACTCCTGCGCCAGTATCGACGAGGTAGCGAACTTTCGTGGTCACATCTGTGACATATAAAAGGCAGCTATGTTCGCCGGCTACGGTTGCCGTTAACGCGTGCCGGCTGGGAAGTTTCCCGAATTGTTTTTCGTGTCGGTGGATTTAGAGTTCGGATAATCGCAGGGTTTTCTGAAATTCCCAGAAGACTTTCCATACTGGTTATGATACTATCATTGGACGGCGTTATCCGTCTCTCGTCATCTGGAGACAGATCGTCTTCGTGAAAGGCTTCTTCACGGGGTATGTGACCGTTTACGGTCATTTTCAAATCTAAGATAACCTGTAAATGTATGACATAATTCCGTAGTGTCGTTCTGGATTGTTGTCAATCGTACATGTCTCAATAATAAGCACGAATGGTTAGATATCAAGTCACCATTTACTAATTAGCTCACTTCATGTCCGAACAACAGACATTTTAGAGTCAGGATAGAATTCGCCTCATCTCAGACTACGGAATGTCATAAACGGTGCCCTCAGGATTCAGTACTAGAACCTCTTCTTTTCCTTAATTCCTAAAAATAGCCTTTCTCAATAAGTATCGTCCGATTTGTCACCTTCCGCTGACGAGGTAAACTCTTGAGAGAAGGGAAGTAAATCAAAGGCCCATGCTAATTATTTTGGCATACAGTTTTGTTTATCTAGTTTAATTTAGAGTTATTCAGTCTAATGGACTGGTATCGTCTCTTTTAGTAGTATGTTCCAGAATTTAGTTACTCTTAAGACGAATCTATAATCGTATAGAATGCGGCATTTCCTGAGCTTTTGAATTTGTTTTCTACTGATTCTCGGTTTCTTTAATTTAAATACGAAAGGAGAATGACCTCAAGCCCATCACTATATGGTTTCGTTACGAATGAAAAAACTCTATCACCTTATTCTAACAATTTAAACCTTTTCCTACGGGCCTGTTTGCCACGAATGTTTGATGATATCTACTCGTATGTTTGCCTAAGCTTTAAAATTAACCTATAATGGTATATGTTGGCATTTATTAGGTGAATACTTAATATTTTTGCATTTCACTCCTATAACTTACACATTTATGAATAATGAATATAAACTATGGATGTAGATCTGAATGTTTCGTGAGCGGAAGACGCTACAAAAACTGTGATTGATTGCCTGAAAAATTATGCCGTTCATACAAGCAAAAACGTATGGATCGTGAGTTTTAAATTCAGTCGTCAGATGCTATATAACGTTTATAGAATTCAATGCCTGACGCTTACCACGTCTATTTTGAGCTTTGCGTCATGCTGTCAAAACCTATTACACCTAGAAGAAGGTCAAATAAAGAACCAAAGTCAGTACCGGTCACCAAGTAAGCATTATATGAAACAGTGATATTTCTAGCGTGACTCGATAACTCTTTTTACGTCGGGTTGTAATTCAAACGTGAGACTAAAGTCTCTCAAGGTTGTACATATGTGATATTATATATGGTCGTTTAGACATCCAATAAAAACTTCACTAAACACACATGTACAAAATACTTGATGAATTTGCTCACATACAAATGTTTTATAAAGTCTTTTATGCGTAATAAAAAGTTTCTAGAGGTTTCTAGTACTAAGATCTCTCGTAATAATACATCTTAACACAGACAAGGGCCAACTAATATTACCTATGTAGGTGGAAACAAACTCTAAATATAGTTTATGCTACAAAATATTGTAATACACAAAATCATTATAACATGTAGGTTCCAAACAGCCGCTTTTCATTGATTTTTAAATTATTTAGTTACTTAAACGATTGTTTCTCATAGTCATTAATTTTAGGATACTTGTGCTTTGTATACACACGGTTATTCTAAAATCACATTATACTGTCAATTAATTTATCGTAATGTTTATGCCTTTGAAAAAAGATTTCATTTATTCACGTTTTTTACCGGGAAGATGATGGATAACTTAGTGTAACTGGCAAATATTCTAGTAGGCGTGGGACTGATAGGTCCTGGTTGCGAATCTCATGGGGTAGGATCGTGGATGCGAACTTCTGAGGTGTCCCAAAATAGGATGAAACGGCCGTCCAGTGCTTCCAGGTTTTTCATGATGGTCTAGCTTCAACTGACTCATGATCTTAACTATTAAAATTGAAAACAATTTGTCTAATCATCTAAAATTAATTCTCATAAAAATCCTTTCTTCTTTTTAATTAATATCACATTAACATAAGACAAATATCTAAAATCTTTCAAAATTTTTTATATATTTCTCTAGAACAATGAACAGAATTAATTTGATATGAATAAAATAGAAGAAATAACTAAAACATTACAAACAGAAATAGATGATAGTAAAATTATATCTCAATTGACAGAGTTATATCAAGTTTATTTACAAGAAAAAAATGAAAATCATGGATTCATAAATAATTATTTAATTAATTTAAATTTACCGCTAATTTTATGCAAATCAATAAAACAAAATTTTTCACAAATCAATCAAAATTGGTTCATTGCATATCAATTAAGTTGTTTCTTATTAGATATTATCTTATCATCAAATAATACAAATTTAAATGATTTTCAAATGAATATTATTATTGATTCTCATTTAATTTTATTAAAACGTTTACAAAAAAATTATCTTTTAAAAAAAGAATCAATAATTAATTTGGAAACAACAAAAGATGAATATTTAAATGTAATCAGATTAATATTAAATAATTTTAAAAAAATAATTCAATATTCTACAAAAATTGTATATTTATTATTGAAATCACCATGGTTTCTACAATTATTTATAACAGATAATAAAGAATTTTCATTATTATTAATAGAATTTTTTATTGTATGTATTAATTTATCACCGGAATCATTTGATCGATTAAAGCACAGTTTAAAAATTGATATATTAGACGAATTAATTTATCATTTATCTATAATGAATAATTCTGAAATGATACAAAAAATAATCAAGTGAGTTGAAAATTAATTGTGGTGTGTGCTATTTATACGACATAAGTAGTATATAGCGCTAGTCAGGAACAGAATGTCTGGAAGCAGAAGCTCAAGAAGATCAAAAAGGAAAGAAAGGGAACACAAGATAATTGGAATTGAAATATAGGGACAGTGAAGTCTGAGACAATTGATTGATATTTTGCGAATTAATTATTCACTGTATGGTTCTGAGATTTTCCTAAGATGTTTTGTCATTTTGTGTTCAAACACATTTGATTGTTGTTATATCGTAGCGAAGACATAAGTCTGGGTATTTTATGGGACCTATAAATGGACGATTATTCTATATATATTCTTATTGTATAACTATTTAGTAACTAGATTATCTATATCTATATTTATCTTATTACAAGCTTCATTTTGACCTATTGATTATTATTATATGGTTTTTTGTTCCTAAATTATATTCGGTTTATTGAATACTTTCTCCTACGCTTACAGCCACATTTGGCTTAATTTTGTACAAATATTATTTTCTATTTTATGGTGTGGTGTGGTCTGCCTGTCTGGTATATAAACAGAGTATGTTTGAAATAAACGATTCGCATAGATTCGCACAGATTCGTATAGATTCGCATAACAGAAGCTGCTATTGGTTTTCTGGACTCAAGTGGACGGGCTAGGCGGATTAAGGACCAATAAGGATGCTAGATTACTCATACTAATCGAAAGTCATTGTCACAGTGTTAAGGTCGTAGAAGTCGTATTTCGATTGGTTTATAATTCACGCGAGTTACGTCCTTGTTTAATTTGTAAGGTCATAACAAATTAGCGACGACCTTCATCAAATCATAACAATTGGCAACTGCTTGAACAAGACATAACAATTCTCCCAATCTGTGTTCTCGTTCACAACATCACCGCAATCAATCTTCATTTGCACTGTTGACTAATCATTTGGCAACTCAAAAGTATATCATAGGTTTGTTTGAAGATTTTGCACATAAATAATGTCTATAATTTTCCAGAACATAATCTAGGAGTCCTCTTAGATTCTAACTCTTTTCATGGTTTATATTCTTGCTACTAACCATAACACCACGTATATGTCATAATGACATTGTTGTTCCCAAATTGGTTGGTTAACCTTATAAGATGTTAATTTGCTTTCCCAACATTTTGTCTTCCAGAGAGATATTAGGGAACCTCTTCAAAAACACTTGTCTACTCTTTTCTTTCTTACTGAATACTTTGATACAAATATGCTTGAAGAGTGATCACAGAGAAGAAGAAGCATAGATCACGGATCAACATTTTTCTATAACTGTGCCCACGTATTTCCATATTCAATCGGCTAGTCAATGATTCTATCTTCTAAATTCGTGTATCATTTCTGTGGTCAAATAATCATTTTAGCCGTCTCATTCATTTCAGTATATTATAAAATAAACTGGCCCTCGTAACACACTGTTCTTTAACTTTTCCAGATCTCTTGTTGTATTATTAATTAAAATACCAGGATTATCGAAGACTATAGTAAAACGTTATCGTGGTATTCAATTGTTGTTAATGAAATGGTTGAATCAGTTTACTAATAAATCAAATGGAGTGGTTAGTACAAAAGTCAGCATGGAAACTACACAAACAATACTAGATAAGAATGAAGCTTGTAGACTATTATTAACACAACTAATTGATCTAATCAATGAATCGCAGATACCTACAGCAAAAGAAAAAAAGTCAGAAATGATAGTCAATAGAAAGAAAACACTTGAAAATAAGAACATAGATGTGAGACAAGCAGCGATTATTATTCAGTCAAATTGGAGAGGTTATTCTGATAGAAAGAAAATAAAACGTATGAATGAAAGTATTGGACTTTTACAGGTAGGAATATTTATACTTATATTTTATTTATTTAATTATTTGCGGTAATCATATGATATTTCATTTTCGACTTTTATTCATTCACGAACTGAGATATGTGTAATTCTGATATTTGATTTTAATAATGATGTATTCAGAAAAGTTACGATTGGTTATTGAGTTAAGACAGGTATAACCTTACAAGTCATATACATATTTGTTCATGAATTTACAATGCATCCGTCCTTCAATGCTCAATATGAGTACAATAATGAGGACTTTTAGACATTTCTCAGTTTATTTAGTGGATGAGTACTGCATATTAGCGCATAATTATCATTAAGAATTTTATTTCAAACTAACTTTCTTTTTATTTTCTTGATTCATCTAATGAATTGTAACGCGCTGTAGTGGTGTGCTCATAAAAGACATATGTAGATAACTTTAGATAATTGACATGAAATACCCGGTGAAAATCATACTCTTTTTTTCTCAGTATCTACCCATTGAATGAATGGAAAAAGTGCTCAAAAACGCTAGACATTGCAATCTAAATGAACATAGAAGGAAGGTTGGATTACCTCGCATGCAATAGTTGTCTTACATTTATGGTTATAACATATTCACAAATTAATAAAATATAATTAACATTCATCAATTTCCTAATATAGACTGTTTTTGACTGGCTGTGAGTCAGTGTACTTAATATCCAATAAGAATTAGGCTTTATTCACAAATTTACTCCAAATAACCAATCAAATTCAAGGTTATTGTATATATAACCAGACTTTAATGTTTACTTAACGTAGATCGACATCAGTTACGGTCAGTTAGAAGAGAAAGTTTACCTACAAGTAAAATTATTTTCTGTCAATTCTAAAATAGTTCTGAATTATTCAAACATTAAAAAAAGGTATGGTAAACTTAAAAGAAACTGGGCAATGCGGATGATGTTGTAGACCAATAGGAATGACTTATTATGAAGATAGGCTTACATTCGATTTGTTGGTAATTAGCCAATTTCACTTACCTAAAGAAGTTGGGAGGATACAAAAACTATTCAAATTTTTATCAATGGAGTCAAACGAACGTCTAAATTCTTGAAAATCCTTTGTTTCATCTTAGTTCTAGGTAATTTTGTAAACAAGAAACAATAAGTTATAATACGAGAAATAATGAATCTCTAGAAATTTCATTTGATGATTATATTTGACAAGTTTATATTGTTAATTAAATACCTTTTGATAATGAAATTTCATATCAATACTTATCAAGTGGTGGATTTCAAATCTTTCACGATAAATGTATTCTTTTATCCTTATACTAAACAAGAATTTTCTCTGAAATCCCTCACCTTATTCTTCTGCTTTACAAGCGACATTTTAGAGAACATCAATTAAAAAAGTTAGAAAATGAGCAACAAGTTCAACTTGAAAAAGACTTCCAGATTATGATCACAATGAATCGTCATAAACGCTACCGAGAGAAGTTAGAAACAGAAATTAAATTATGGTCGAGTTTACCTGGTTGTTTAGTTGAAAATGAATGGAATAAAGAACGTGAATTAGCTGCCATATTTATTCAACGACATTATCGTGGTTACTGTGCACGAAAATATCTGAAAAATCAACGGGACTATTTAAAACGTGATAAAGCTGCTAGAACAATTCAATTGAATTTTCGTAAGTATTTATCACGTTTAGAATGTGCATCGTCTGGAAAAACTGTGTTCAAGATAGATCCAACAGAGAATAACTTAATCAATAATAAAAAGTTAGAAATCACTATTAAGGAAGTTCTCAGGGTAAGTATCATCTCAACTACTCAATATATTTTCCATATGAACAAATAGTTGCATAGAGAATAGGTTTCTTTTATCGAGATATAGTTTATAGTCTAAATTCTAACACATTTCGTTAATTATTGCTCGTTGTACTGATGTAAGGTGTGACATTTTGACCTAATCCACTAGTTTATCAAATTTTGTGTTGTTTTTCACTAGATAATGATTGATGACTTTCCCTATTAAAAAACTGCTGGAATAGTTTTAAGAGGTATTTAAAAATGGTTCATGATAATATGAATGGGATAACTTTAAAGGCTGCATTTGGATTGATCTAGCAGAATGTATCGAGTAGGTATGAGACAACTGAACATCTTTTCCTGTGTTCAGTTATGAACGGTGATGTTCAGAAGCATAGGAATGAACTTTTATCCTTTAGTCAAACACTTGGTTCCCAAAGCTAAAATCCACTGGGTTTTTCCATCCAACTCGTTCTGAGCTACGAAATGTTGCTTTGTACACAACTGTTGAGTTGGCTTCCGGAGAACTCTAACAGAGACTCCAGAGGCTCATAAAGAGCCCCAACCAATCAGCGATTAATTAGAAGTTGTGTGAAGTTATGTCACTAAAATAACGAGATCCTGATTGGCTGATTAACACACTGTTACTATGTAAACTCAAGATCTCTTAATTGCTATAAAATCCCTGTATTTTCTGTACATAAATGAATCCTGTAGTAAAGTGCTTCCCACACACTTTGTGCCTTTTCTCTGGTCTTCAAGTCGCTGTATAGTTCTAGCTCGGGGGTACGGAACTAGCTTAGGAAAGCGAATATAGCGTTCACAATCGGCCAGACGTAACAACAACCCAGGCCTTAATGATCCACATAAGTAAATCTGATATTAGAATCCAGAGAATTCTCGCATAGCTCTTCACCTTGTTCTGGCTATCTAATTAACTTCATGTTTACACCTTCATCCATCCAGCTTTACTGATATGAAGTTATTTATAACAACTAGCAGATTATCAAACTAAATGTTTTGTTTTTCCAGTTCTTATTCTTATGGAAAATCAGTTTTAATAAATAATCGATCAATTCATACTTTCATGATTAACGTCGCTATTATTATGCCCATTTCATAATCAACTTTACCTGTAGCTCTTCTAGGGCTACTTCTGGTTCGAAGCCCTGGTAAAGGAGGAGGGTTGGGCATATAGAGCCAGTATCCCCATCCCATAAAAAACCTTGCTAGAAAACACTAACCAAAATAAACAAATTAGACCATTTAAACTCTGACTTGGGAGTTGAAGGAAGAATTAGGACGCTTCATGATGAAAGCTGAGATTCTTCGGAAGTCAAAAGGCTGATTACCCTTCTAGCAACAAGAGCAATAATTAATATAGGTACAAAGAATGCTCGGATAATGTGGCTGCGGAAATGAGGAGATACAACTTGGTGGTGCTAGGAATCAGTGAAACCCCTTGGACTCAAGCTGGACAGAAAAGGATAGATTAGGGAGAGATACTACTGTACTCGGTTGATGAAGAAGAAAATGCTGCACACACTCGTAGAGTTCCTCTGATGCCATCCAAAAAAGTATGGTAAGCACTTGTAGGATGGGAATGTCATGGATTCAGGATCATCAAAGCATCTTTCAAAACAAAAAATGAAGGAATCATAATGAGTGTTATCCAATGTTAGGCACTCACCAATGATAGCAACAATGACGATAAAGATCAGTTTTACAAGAGGCTTCAGTTAATCTTAGATAAGTGCTCAGGAAAGGACCTGAAAATCCTGTTGTGGGACCAAAACGTCAAAGTCGGAATGGAGAACACCGGATATGAAAATATCATAGGACGGCATGGACTGACGGGAAAAAGGAACAAGAATAGTGACAGATTTGCAAATCTATGTGGATTCAACAAAATGGTTATTTTATAGTTAAGATCATGAGTCAATTGAGGCTAGACCACCATCGAAAACCTGGAAGCACTGGACGGCCGTTTCGTCCTATTATGGGACTCCTCAGCAGTGCGCATCAACGAACCCACTCTCGCGAGATTCGAACCCAGGACCTACCAGTCTCGAGCCGGCGCCCTTAACCGATAGACCACTGAGCTGGCATCTAACGGTGTTAATGTCTAACCTCAACCAATCCACGAAATTGTGCAACCAACTTCCAATGTACTGAGGTAGATACCTGTCTCTACCTGACATGGATTAGCTCCACTGGCCACGACTTCTCACTAGAACTCCATGAATTACCTCAAGGAGCCAGTCCCTAGTGAGCATATGATCATTATCACAAGGGGGGTTTTTGTGGAGATAAAATTACTAAATCTCCACAAAAACCCCCCTTGTGAAAATGGTTATTGGTGGCACAATATCACCTCACAAGCTCATGCACGAAGCTACATCAGTCTCATAGCGTTACATTACAGAGAACCAGATCGATTGCATTTACATCAGCGAAATTTTTAGAAGGTCAATGGAAGATGTGAGCACCAAGAGAGGAGCTAACATAGCTTCGGATCTCCACCTGGTCGTGATATATGTTAGATATAGGTAGTAGTATGTGGCAGGAAGTGGAAGTAGAATTCTTACTAGCTAAAAAGTAAAATGAGGAAGAGAAAAAAGAGACAGAGAGCTATCAACGTAACAACAGAAATGAAAAAAACGATGGAGTTTGTAAGGGACAACTCATGGATGATATGCAAATGATGTAAATGATCTATTGTTTTCTGATTTTACGAATGCAATGTGTAACTTTGCACAATATGGTCGATTTTCCCTTGCCCAAGTTTCTGTCCGTACAATACTAACCGATTACTCTACCTTTGATTTCACCCGGTAAAACTATAGGGAGTAATTACTTACAAATGAATTTCTTGAATAAGTCCATATACTGTCACTAACAGTGTCTTAGCAGGACTGTAGTAAAAACATGTAATTATGTACATACCCAACAATTGTATACTGTTGCTAAATTATGAATTAATACAATTGGTAGAAAAATTCCAAATAGTAGTCAGTAACAAAGAGATCAATGAACACTCATATAGAATAGTAGCAGGGACATAAAAAAGTAAATCAATAACGAGAATTACTCATGCTCACGTAGCTGGTACAATTCCATGATCGATAGTTTAATAAAAGTGTCAAAGTAATAACCGGTCAAGGAATAAATGAATCTTAAGTGGTGGGCAGTTAATTGAAATATCATAGATTGGTTTATCCTTGTCGATAAAAATTATCAATCTCCCCGAAACAACCACCATGTCCTTTGTCAGCATTCTTCATTGTCATACCTTGTGAATTTTCGGTCGAACATACTTTTCGTACTATCCGGATAACTATTTCGGTCACGATCTCCTGCCGCCCAGTTGTGTTGAGTCCACGGCCTACTTCACTGACCATAGCACTCTCCCGCCTACTCGTGGTACAGTCATTCAACAGTCGTAGAGGTGTTACCAACCATCGATCTGTTGACTCATTAGATAGTAGGTTGGCAGTAGCAGATTGAAATATATTCGTTTGTTCTTGTAAAGAGAAAGAAGCGGTATTTAACTTTATATCTTCATCAACTACAGCCTCTGCTAGTTTTCTCTTGGTCAGCAATAGATTATCGTTTGGTCATTTCTTCGCCAATCAGCGCCAGTTGGTAATTGGAGAAAATTCGTGTAAATTTATGAATTTACTAACGTTTTTCTTAGTATGAATTTTACTTCCATTTAACATTGTTTATTCGGAACATAACTACTTTCCTGTTCAACCGTGTTCTAGTTTGAGGATCAGTTGAGTGAAGTGATGTCCGACGAACACTTAGCATTAAGGGTAGCTGGGTTTTAGTAATAGACATCATAATAGTTATCAATGAAGCATCTGCACCACTATCTAACAAGGCACAGGCATGAATGGTCTTCTTACTTAGCTTCAGTAATACTGGTACTATTGTCAATGCAGCTGGTTTATGTGTATATTTTACGAGCTCATCACTATCTTCCGTTTCCCTACAGTGATAATTATTGGCGTGGACGTTATCGAAAGTATTCATCCGTTCCTTTCACTTCATCTGAAGTACAGTACGCTGCAGCCAACCGCACTCTTAAACCAAAAATGCTCTCGGCGACTGACAATGTTTTTTCACATGGCTCGCCTTCAAACACACTTTACACAGCTTTTGCCTAAGAACCTATTCTTTGCATTATTTAGCATCCTTATTTTGAAACTTCTGGCACTAATCTAAATAATTATTCTCTGAGCACTCTAAACAAGATGAACCACGGTAACCATATCTGTCATGTAATGGGACATTGTGATTACTAGTACTTGCATAGAATATGCTTGCTGTATTGTAATCCGCACTAACTTTTCCTTTTACATCACCGACATCTCTATTATCCCTTTTACCACTACGGCTAACAAGTAGGCCATATATGTTTATTAGACATATCAGCTTGTTTCTTAACAAACTCAATAAGGTCGCCAAACAGAAGCTCTTGATCTCCTTTAATTATCTCGTAAGCTACCTTTAGCCACTCTTGTTGAACGTGCGTTGGTAATTTCAGAATTCTAGTTTCAACAGTTCTGGAAGAGTTCAAATCAGGAAAGTAATTCATCTATTCGAGAGTCAGACCTCATGCTAGCATTACTCGAGATCTTTTAAAACCGTCTGGTTGATTCCTGTTTATATTAGGAAAAATTAACAAGTTGTCAGTAAATGTGCTTCCTGAGATGTGCCTATTATCAAACGTTTCCTCCGGAATTTTTAGTGTTTGACCATAACTTATCTCCAATTCTAACAAGGTACCACGAAGGACAGCACTTTTTGCTTCTGTGTCACAACACTGGATTACATAATTTAATTTAGCTCTAAGTCCAACATTTTCACTGTCGATTCATTCTTCGAATTTCTCGACGTGGTAAATATAGATATTTTAGTATTTCATTCTCGCTAATGATTAACCTGAACCTTCACTTCCTTGGTTACGTAGCTTTTCCAGTTACACGTAACCCGGCTAATCTAATTCTATCAGGGAGTTGGTCTAAATTAGTAAGGAGTCAAATATTTTGTTGAATAATTTTAAAATTATGAGACTAGTTTTAATAACCATAAATTAATAATGAAAAATGGGACAAGAGGGAACAATGTGAATGTTGTGATTAAATAAAGGTGAGGTCAAGCAAACGAGATGGAGACATTAAAGGATGGGAAGTGCAACAGTGAATTGGTCACCATGGCAGCGCCAGGTGAAACACAATTTTTCTTGTATACATAGGTTGTATTTAAGACGACTCGCTGCTTCTGCGTTATATATAAGGCTGCTGTTATTTGCTACTGGAAAGGTAGTATCAGGTTTTGCTGAATAATCCACGTCCTATTTATGTTTTCCCATGGCATTGCTAGTTTTTTAAAGCCATTCATGATTAGATTCTTTGAGTTAGCTGAAAACTCAGTTTTAATTAGATTATCAGGATGAAATTATTAAAAACTCTATTAATCCTTGTGAAGTTATGGTGAGACATTGGTTTGGATATTTGTTATGAATTACGTCATTTATGGTCAATGTATACTGTTCCGTGTGAAAAGATTAATTGACGAGGCATCTGATAAAATGGTGTTTAAACCACCCTTTTTATTAGTTGATTTGACTTTTTAACTAGCAGGTCGAGTTTAATATTTTTTCGAAATAGAATCTAATTATTATGCTATATCATTCATATAAAAAGCTCAAGCTGATTCCAATATCTGTGGGTTTATGGTTTATTTCTTAGCTAGATGTTCAATTAGATCCAAAGCTATTTTTCGTCATGAACCGATATTTCCTATCGAATTTTAGGGATTTCAGAGTTAAATAGTTTCAGAAAGTTGACATTCCCCGAGAGAGTGTACCTGAAAACTTGGAAGAAGCCGAATAGTCCCCGAGCTTAAAACGTTTTTTAAAACTAACATCCGCAGCAAGATCAACAAAGTGGCCAAGTGATAGACATCTAACATTGAACTATTTAATCGAATTGTATTAAACCTTAGTGTCTTATTTCTTAAAACCACTCAGGAACATCGAAAATGGTGTGAAACGCATCAGCAAAGTATGAGACTGATCAATCAATTGGAAGATGTTCATAAAGAGACCCAAATCAAAATTGGTCAGTATCGCCGTGATTATCAAGTGAACAGTATTAAAGTAAGATTTACTTGTTCATTATTGTTGCTCTAGTATTTTTATTCACATGAAGCAAAGGCTATCTACTTAAATCGCCAAGAATATTTGCAAGTTATGGTGAGATATTAAGCAATAAATGACTATGTACAATATGATACTGAATCGTCAATGTTCTTACATTCATGCTTAGATAGAAAAACTTGGAATTAGAGTTTATTGGTGTCAGTGTTCATCTGAAGAACATACTGTTAAGGTCAAGATGATTCATGGATTCCGTTAGAAATTTGAACACAACATTTTTAAAGGTTATCATGTTAAACTGTTTGATCAACAGTGTAACTATAAAGTACGATGTTTTCCATTGGCGAATGACCAATTATAACTAGATACCTAGGTAACTGATATAACGAGTAGAACACTACTCATCTTGTTAAAATAAGTAATGAATGTTTCGGTCTGCATGGAAACAGAAGAACCTCTGAGATTGTAAATGAACAATCTTAATGAACACCAAATAATTGGAGTTAGATCAGAGGATAAATCAATAAAATCTCCACTGAGTAACATCACGTTAAAAAGACTATGAAGCAATGCCAATGTTATTTAGATCTCCTATATAATACACAGCACCAGAAATCACTTACTTGAATAATTAGTTTGGTTAAGTTTATCAATCATGATTATCAACCACAAAGACGTCCTGTCACTACAGTTATTCATTTACAACAGTTCAGATTATGCTACCTTATTCTTATCATTCATTCTAGTCAACATATATTGCTACTTAGAATAAACCCGACCGTTGCTACTACCTTTACGTGGTGGTCGGGCTTGCCTATCGTGATGAACCAATCAAACTATACTGGCTGGAACAATCGTTCCTCAAGGTCCTACCATGCCAGACAGGTCGGTTGAAGAGCAGTAAGACTAAAAGCAGCAAACCCAAGGTCCGAAGGCGAAGTCGTACTGTCGACTGTACAGAGGTGTGACGGCAGTAAGGTGTTTCCTTCAGACAACCAGCACAACAGTGATGCTGCCTTTTCACAAATAAGGGTGGGGTTAGAAATGGTCGACCCTAAAAATGCACACCTCGCCTTATCCCACGGATATCCGTCTCCAGCGGTAAGGTCCCAACAAGTACGGAGCTAACACAAAAATTACCCACAGAAAGGTCGTGTGTGACCGGCCTCAAGAAGTTGTCCCTTGGGCATTGCAGTCAGGCTCTCAGGTCAATAAGACCACTTCTAACCCAATTTCTTTTTCAGGTACCTTTATAAGAACCCTTCCACGGTGTGGGCAACCGGGAAGTGATAACTGCCTTCATACCTCTAACAGCGCTCAAAATCACTGTATTCATAATAGATCTCCTGACTGACTTAGATTAAACACATAAGTAGCCGACAAAGAGAAATCTATGAGATAAAATGTGTAGATAGTATCTAGATTTATTGCTTGTTCAACTAATTGAATTTGTTTTTATAATTAGATCAAGGTACTTGTAAGAATAAGTGACATCATAAAGTGACTCTCAGGCTGAATAATAAAAAACAGTTGTTAGGTTATTCACAGGAATATCCCAAAATTATCTCGAAAGTAAAGTCGTATGTTTTCAGACTCTTCACATATTTCGCATGTTATTTTCTATTGGTCATTATTTACAGTTGTCCTAACTATGACTTTCACGTGTCGTTTTCCTATTGGTCAATTTTGAGTTGTCCTAATTACAACCTTTACGTGACCTTTCTTTCCATTGGTTACTGTTCATAGTCATTTTAACTGTATAAATATGCCTGTCTGTAAACCATTGTTGTTCTGCTGCTGACCCCATAAACAATTCTCATTTGACGGCTGTGTTCTGATTTGTTGGAGTTGGGGGACAGTATTGGGGTCGAACTAGGATATCTGAATTTGGTCAATCGGTAGAATTTCGTGTAGTCCTATCGCAATACGTAATATTTGGGCAATTTATATTAACAGTGTAATTAAATTACACTTATATAATGTAGTAAACAAAAACACGAGTGTGGACAATCGAATATATTTAAGCATAAATTACAAACTACCTCACTAAATTCTGATAACCATACAGTAAGCAGTTAATTTGCAAAATAACAATTAATTGTCTCAATCTTAACTGTTCCTTCTGTAAATATCAGTTCATCTTCTCTAATTTCATTGTTTATGCATTTCCTACCAATTGCACTTCATTTTATTTTTTTTCCTTATTGGTCTTCTGCCAAAATACATTCTAGGTCTGACCATCGCCGTTTACTACTTATGACGACATAAGTAGACCACACAACAATAACATTTATAGTCGAGGAATACGGTATTTTTGTTTTGTAATGTTGACTAGAAAGATTAGTTTGCCTACTGCAATACATGGATAAACTGGAGTGAATTTTATAAAAATTATTTGAGAATTTTAATGGTATCTTGCATTACGAACTGGCATCAATTGAAGGACTATTTGAAACAAGAGTAGTACATAGGTTTTCCATCCTAGTTTAAGATCTTCAAGAAGACGAAACTGTCATCCTATCCTTCATGATTAATGTATATTTCGATATTTTTTAAAAGTGTTCATGATTTTTAATGTTTATGTGCTTACTTATCTGTATATAAACATTTTTAGAGTCAAACCAGACAAGTGACATTAACAAGAATGAAAATTGACGCAGATTTACTGTTGAATGAGTTCACTGAAGAAGATAAGCAATTAAAAAATGAAATAAAACACAAGAAAACAACAACACTAAATGAAATAGTTGATAAACATATTGAAAACTCTGATTTAACTAATGCATTTAGTCAATTCACATGTCGTGTCCAACCACTGGCACGTTTGGCCCAAATGGAACATCACGATAGAATGACAAGAATGAATTTAAACAAATCATGGTGGAATATATTTATGGATGAATGGAGAAAGAAACAAGATGAGTATATTCAATCGCATAATAAAAATTTCTCAGACTTGACAGATACTGATGTTACTAATCAAAATGTTGATAGTTATGATTTATCATGGTTGCCTGATCGATTTATTGAAGAATTGGAGAGGCGGGATATTTTTCAACGATGAAATATGCCTCTTTTTTTACTTAGAGTAACTCTTAGGAACGTAAATTAGATTTATCAAAATTAATTTTATTGCTAAGAAAAATGTATGAATTTCAAGGACTGAGTTCAATATGTTGTACTTTAAAATTTTGAACATCATCCCGGTGATTTATGCTTTCAGTATAAGTTATACGAGATCTAGCAGAACCTGTTATCTGATGCTATATTCTAATAGTGAATCAGAATTTTTCATGATGCTCTCAGACAGTTTTATTCGTCTGAGTTATGAACTGAGGTTTATAGTTTATGTCATGACAAGGACAAGTGAATAATTATTGGTTGTTTAATATTTTGATTCTACAGTATTCCATCTGTTAATTGATAAGTGTCTCATAGTCACAATTTGTAAAGCCAATTAATAATATTAAAAGGCTAATATTTGGACGAAGAATGTTTTTTTCGATAAATTATCTTATCACACTCTACAATTCATATATCCAAATTAATAATCCGAACAAAATGGTCAGGTTATAAGGGCAAAGTACATCGTTTAAAGCATGTAAATTTACGATTGTCAAACAAAATATAATAGAATTGTTAACATTTGAATCTGTATATATGTTAAGTGAAAATTCCAGATCTGTGATCAGAATATAAATATGGGTCAGATAGGGTGAGACAGATAGAAGTGGTATTACAGAGGTGATGCGGCGAGTGAAATACTAACTCAGAGACTACGTAGGACAGTACAAAAATCTTTCAAAGCCGGTGGACTACGATTAGTGTTTACTATGAGCCCAATGGTGACACTGAGGCTAAAAGATGAATTACCTAGAATGACCACCACATTTTTGTATTTACCAGTTCGACTGCTCCTGTGGAGCAAGTTATATTGGTCGAAGTTCTAGGAATTTACATTTTCGTGCTTGCAAACACCTCCCAGCATGGCTAAACAAAGGTTTGGTGAAGAAAGTGAACAGCTTGATTTTGGCCCACTTAGTGCGAACTGATCATAGTGCCAGTATAAACCAACCCTTTTCAATTATTTATAGGGTCAGTAATTTTTTGCAAAAGCTTGTTCGGCTTAAAGAACTCAGAGCTATGTGTACAAAATATATCTCCAACCCCTCCTAATCCCCTGGCCAACCACCAGACCAATTAATCAATAGTAATCTTAGCTATTGAATGAACTAATTTGACTGTTGTACTTACGACCTTTCGTAGTCAAATGTAATTGTCTCTACTATCTTTATTCACAAATCTTTGAATTCTTATTATTGTTATTATTATTATCAATCTCCCCGATACATGATTCATTTACTTCGCATTCATCCCTCCTTATTACGTTTTACTATATTTTCACACAATTTAGTCTTCCGTTAAACATTTGATCGAATTTGTAGATATCATTGTAGGTATCTAATTTTTCTACTCATTGGGATTTTACAAATATATTAATTTATTTATTTGATGGAATTGTAATTGCACGATCATATCTCTCTCACCCTATCTGACCCATATTTATTCTGATCACAGATCTTACTTATTTTCACCTAACATATATACAGATTCAAACGTTAACATTCCATATGAGTCATATCAACATTAACAATTCTATTTTGCTTGACAATTCTAAATTTACATGCTTTAAATGATGTACTTTGCCTTTAACCTGACCATTTTTTCGGATTATTAATTTGGATATATGAACCGTAGAACGTGAAGAGAGAATTTTCACAGTTGAAATCATTAGTCGATTGAAGCTAGACCACCATGGAAAACCTGGAAGCACTGGACGGCCAACTCGGCCTATTATGAGACTCCTCAGCAGTGCGCATCCACAATCCCGCACTCGCGAGATTCGAACCCAGGACCTACCAGTCTCAAGCCAGAGCCCTTAACCGAGAGAATTTATCGAAAAGAATATTCTTCGTTCAATATATTAGCCTTTCAATTAATAATAATTTAAATTAAAATTTTTTTTCATATACTCAGTTGGTTGACAAGTGGTTTTGTCATGGAAAATCTGACTTCATCTACATCAAACTCTCTAGCAACTTTAAAAACCAATTGAGGTTTAATAACTTTTGACGTTTATTAAACCGTGAAAATTAGATCGGTGAAAGAGTTTGGGATGGAGTATGAAAACATTGCCAGATAGTTATAAGCAATGCCACATCATATCTCAGTGAAATAAAATTATCAAGACAAATGCCTCACAAATAATAATGGTAGAAAAGCATAGGTAATATAATTTAATAGGAAAGAATGAATTCGGAAAACAGGAAAGTATAAAATAATCCTAAAACTTAAGGCCTGGTGGAAGACAAAGACTAAATGCATCTGTGCTACTGCGACCGATTTTAAGCTATGTTACCTATCGTCTGCAACCACTGTAGCACTCATGTAAATAATAACGATTCATCTGATGACGACAATTTATGGATGAACCTGTTAACAATAAACAGTGTAACTCAATATTCTATACACAATTGTTAATATACTAAGTAAATTGCTTATTGAAATCACAACATGACTATACAAATCTTATTTAGGAGCTGATGTAATTCAGGTACTGATTTTTATGTGAGAAGAGAAAAAACATGACTAACGACTTTTATAATAAATTTGATAACAGTTCTACAAGTGTATAAAAATTTGTGGAAATAATTCCAATCCTAGGTGGATATAATATTCTTGAACATTAGTGCTGGTAGTAGTCGTAGTAGTAGTGCAGTGAACGAGAACTCAGGTGGAGTAAACCAAATTACTGTTGA